TTACTAATGGGCTTTAATGGATGAAGTATGTCCTCCCACTTTTCAAATTCAACTTCAACCTAGTGGCAAAGAGAAAAAATAGTAGAGGGGTGTCCTAACCCAAAGTAGATCCTTCCTTTACAGTATTGATAATAGAATGGTAAATCAGGGTGTCTATATCTATGGATTTCATGGTTTGGATATAGTAGTTGAGAGAAGCTCTCTCTTGTGTCACCTCACTAAAATTCGTGGAAGGGAGAAGCTTGGATGAAATGAAGTAATGCCAAGACTTGGAAGGGGCTTTTAATTTGGAGGAAGAAAAGTTGACGTTGTGGTCATTCTTGACCTTCCAAGCCCCTTCCCCATTGGTTAAGAATCTGATGATTTCATCAAAATTAGAGTCAGTGGGGAAAAAGCTAGAATAGAAACTCTCATGGATATCTCCTAACAAAAATAACACATTAATACGCAAATGAGAGATAGCCACTCGCTTCTCCCTCACAAAGACTGAATGATAGTCTTAAACTTAAGTGAGTTCTTGAAGTCCTTGACCGCTTTTTTTAACCTTTGCAGCATTAACTTCATTCACAGACCTCAAAAGTCAGATCTCTTCCTCTTCGGCTGACACCATCAACTCATGGTTTTTCACGATCTTATATTGATATTAGTTCGTGCCTCAACCAACACCTCTCGAGTTCTCTCTAGATCATGAAGCTTCAATGAGAAGAAAGTCGCTATTGTTGAGAGTTCTGTCAAAGCTTTGATTTTTTTCTCTCTTTTTTGTTTTTCCTTATTTATTTTGTTTTGCTCTTTCTAATGCATTTAACGCTTTTTTAATTTTTCATTAGAGCAAACCAATTGGAGGTAGCCATGTGGAGGTTTGACTTAGTTTGGGGGGAAGGAATTTGGATTACTTTTTGGGTGGCTTTTGGTCACTGCATGGAAATGTTTTTGTCCTCACTTATCATAAGGTTTTTGTTGACTTACCTTGGGTTTAGCCACGACGACATGTAATGGACATGAGGATTTCGGTTTAGCTTGGGTTTGGATGTGTCATAGTAATGGTTCACAACTTTTTGGAAAATCAAAAAAGGTGAGTGGATTAGGCTAGAAATGGTTTGATGGCACTTGGAGCTTAACATGGCTTGATGACTTGCTGGCTTATCATGAGAATTGGGTTTGGTGGATATTTTAGTTTTTTTGTTTTATTTGTCATGAGACTAATTTGAATTATTTGATCATAAAACTTAGGCTTTGAACTTGACTGATTTTTGATGTGATGAGTAAGCTTAGACTAATTTTGTCATGAGAGTTTGATTTGAATCAAATTAGATATTGTTTTGATTTAATTTTAATTTAAATTTAGAATTCACTTTTAGTTTTAGGTGTAGGCACTAGGTTAAATGGCTTTTAATTTTAAGTTTATCGTGACATAAGTTTGGTTTGATTTAGGTGACTTTAAAAGTTGAATTTAATTTTGGATTTTGAATATTAAAAGTTTGTCAAATTTTATTTTTAGCTTTTCTTATTTGGTTTAATTTAGAATTCTTATTAATTTAAATTTTATATTTGATTAAATTTTGGTGAATTCATTTATGTTTGATTTTGATTGTTGATTAATAATTTTAGTAAATTTAAATTTGATATTGAATTTAATTATATTTTGTTTGTTTGAATTTAATTTTAAAAGGATTTAACTATATTATTTTTATTAAATTTCATTTTAATGAGTTCAGTTTTAGTTTAATATGATTTTAAGAGAATTTAATCATGTTATTTTTGATCAATTTGATTTTAATGGTTTCAATTATATTAATTTTTTTTTTAAAATTGATTTTAAAGAGATTTAATTATACTATTTTTGTTAAATTTGATTTAAGGAGTTCAATTATATTAATTTTTTGTTGAATTTGATTTTTTAGGTTTTAATAATATTGATTTTTATTAAATTTGATTTTAATAAGTTCAATTTTATTAATTTTTGTTGAATTTGATTTTAGAAGAGTTTAACTATATTAATTTTCTCTTTTATTAGGATATAGACTTTACATTGGCCAAAAATAAGCCTCACACTTAATGTGCTCGTTATGAATCAAAGAAAGAGCTTATCAAGGTTTTCGAAGAGAGCACTGCAAAGTGCCTTAAGCCATATTCATATCTATGGGGACTCAACTTAAACTTCAATGACTTAACCCTAATCATCTCAATCAAGGGTTATGATTTTGAAGTCAAGCATATGAAACTTTAAGGAGTGAAGAGGTGTTTTGAAGTCTTATTTTGATATTGGCTTCTCCACTAGTCTTTTAGGGAGGCCACTATGGAAATTTTAAGGCTTGATCCTAAGCTCTAGAGGGAGGAAAAGCACGATAATCATTATACAAAAATTAAGCCAGCAGTTGCATCAAAAGAAAAGTAAAGAAAAAAGTCCTAGAAAAAATTTAAATCTAACAAGCAAAATGGAGGCTCCTCATGCCAAGGATTCGATCCCACTTAGATGACGTAATTGACACGACGTCTTCATCAGGTGGTGACAAAGCAGTAGCAGCTTCTTGCTCCTTGAATAGCGGCAGACCACAAAAAGCTTCTTGCCTCCCAGTTGACAACAGAACACCAAGAGCTCCTTGTATGGTATGTTTAGTCGACAGATCTTGTATTGTAGTAGAAGGTTGAGCCGACATAGGATGGTTAGGTTGGTCACCTGAATATTCCTTTGCCAAGGAGCGATGAACAAATCATAAGACCTAACTAATTCGCCGGCGTGACCAATTTTCTCTTCTTAGTGATGTTTTCTTCTTTTTACCTTCTAGGTGGTACCGCTTCTTCAGTTTTTTGAAGGTAGCACGAAACATATCTTTGTTGGGGCACTAACCAATTGATGTGGCACATTCTCCATGTTAGCACTTGGAAGTTGATCGAGTTTGATGAAAAGAGATAAAAAGCAAATATGTAAACCATATTCTCATCATAACATATTTATAAGAACCAATGGTACAAAAAGCAATGACGTTCAATTATTAAATCACTAATTAATAATGATATCTACTTTTTGCATAATGATATCTACTTTTTGCATAAATTCTCTTTTTATTGCAGTGTTTTTTCAAGAAGTAATGATAGCAGTAAAATAAAATATGTTCATATAAAATGTGCTAGTGTTGATTCTGAGGAGATCTAACAGTCTAGAGGAGAAGAGTACGATGGAGGAGGGCTGACTATTAGAAGAGCATGAAGTCCACTTATCTGATCGAGTGCATATGTCTGAGCCAAAGCCCACTAAGTCATGAAGATGACCGAATGATCTAAATCAGAGCTGCTTGGTCAGAAACGAGACAAAGAGACATCCATGACAAGTAGCTTGAAGAAGCTGACTCGAGGGAAGATCCTCAACAATTCCAATCATACCAGAAGTAGCTAGGAGCTCCACCATCTATTAACATGGGTTCAAGAACCATATTAACTTATCCAACCAAACGTCCTGCTGACCCAATGCCAATTGAGCTTAACTGACCAACGACACATACTAAGGTTAGTCGACCAAAATTGTTGTGCCGAGCTGAAGCCAAACGAGCCAATAATTACCAAAAATATCATGAAATAACAACAAGATTGATATAAATTATTTTTCATTACTGTTAACTCTTCTCCCTGTCTCTCTCTGTCACTCTTTCTCCCTCCCTCCCCTTATTACACTCTATTCCCTGGGGCGTGATCCATAAATAAATTAAGATTCAACACAACCGATATGTCGCTATGAAATTTATATGCTAATACACAAATCTCAATGCATTTGAGATAAAAGATCTTTCAAATTTAAATTCAAGATATTCTAAGCTTCTATTTTAATAAATTTATAGCTAAATTGAGCATCATAAAAAAACAAGCTGAATGACATTGAAAGTGATTCATTCCGAGTCTGAATAAACCCGAATCAAACACTTGAAGTGTATTTAAGAGATTTGAAGCATTTTAAATGACCAGGTGATCTCAAAATTTGACATGCTTATAGTTAAATTGAGCACTAAATGAGAGGAATCCAATAAGCAGAAGATCATTCAATTTTGAGGACTTTGAGACACCCAAATGTAGAAAGAATGATCTATGCTCGAGGAAATCAATGTGGACAGTCTAATGGAATGTTTGATATTCTCACTAAATTCATCGAAATTCCCATCTCAAACCCTATAAATATGCCCTAATTCCTAACTTGAAAGGAGAGGATAAGAAAATAAAGTAAGCTGGTAATTAAGTCATAACTCTTGAAGAGAAGTGCATATGAAAGACCACCACTCGTTGTCGATCACCATTAATAATTATTGCAACTAACTACGACTTTTGTAGTCAATTATGCTATTATAGTCACCAACTTTTATTTTTATAGTTCAATTATGTATGTTGTAGATAAATAATGCTATAAACTTGTGATTATCGAATTTTATAATCACATTTACTAATTCAAAAGATGAGTGAATTTTTGTACTTTCTATTATGATTTCTTTGATTGGGTTAAATCCTATTTTTTTTCTAAGCTTTTTCCATGTAAAAAATTAATTATCTTATATTTTTATATACATGCTGAAAAATTGTAATGAACTAAAACTTAAGATTTCTTTATTATTAAATTTTTGTTAGCATGCAATAAAACAATTCGAGTATATTAAAGACTAAAATGTGTGTATATATATAAATAAATAAATAAATAAATGTAATCTATAACTACATAAGAATTGCATGAAATATATATATATATATATAGTTATAGATTACATTTGAAGTTATCTATTTATATTTATAATATTTTAATGTCATAAAAATATTATTTTACTTAAAAAAAATAATACTTATAATATTTTTTGTGTGACATAATTCTTATGTATTTATATATAGTATTTAAAATTTGATATTTTTATTTATAATATTTTGGTATTATTAAAACATTATTTTACTTTAAAAATGAGAATACTTATAATATTTTTTATGTGATAGTGGTCATGATACTCTTATGGGATGCTTAAAATTTCAGTAGTATTAAATTTGAATGTTCAAGTGCTTACATATACTGTGTGGATGTTTGTGATCCACAGTGCGCCCTACAACGCCGGGAGAGGGGAAGCCCTCCATCTTTCTTCTCTCTGCCATGTCACCTGCTTCTCCCTCTCTTCCTTCCACAGGTAGTTGCTCCGTGAAACCACCTAACCCTTTCCCCTTATCCTTCTTCTTTGGATGTCAATCTATTTCCTTTATAGGGCTTCGTTTCCTGGTCTCTCATCCTTTTTCTGAGTTTTGATCTCAGTATCACTCTAATTGCAGATTCCCAGCTTAACTGGAGGAAGCGGAAGCGAGATAGAAACCCTAAGCGTCAGCAGAAGCCCCATGAGGAGGATGAGGAGGAGGACGAGGATGCTGATGCTGTGGCGGCCGGCGATGAGGACGCGGAGGGCGATAAAGACTATCGTGCCGACCGTAATACTGGCAGCGCCTTCGATCTGCGACATACCGAGGTCCTTTCTGATGGCGGTCAGCGGATCTGCGACTTCCCCGTCGTCATCCGACGTACTGTAAACCGGCCGCATGTCTCCGTTATCTCTATTGTGGTTGCAGAAAGGCTGCAGTTATCGGGTGCTTCATCTTGGGGTGGTTCGGCCAACCTTCCTTTTCTTGAGAATATCTCCCACGGCCAACTTCAGGCCCTGTCCTCAGTCCTTCCCGACCATACTTCTCTCCATCCACCGGACTTTGACAAGCACTCGACTTATGTGTGCACGTCTCCTGTTCTAATGGAAGGCAAAGGGATCATGAAGCGGTTTGGGAACGATCAAGTCCTCATTGTCCCTATGCATTCTGGTTAGTTTCTCTTTCTAAAATTATGCTCTTCAAGCTACCCTGTTTGATTTCCTGATGGAATTTTGTTCATACGGTGAACGAAAGATTGGTTTTCTTCAACTAACGTACACCGGCTCGAGAGACAAGTGATACCGCACTTCTTCAACGGGAGGTCAACAGAGCACACGCCTGAGAAGTACACGGCTTTAAGAAATAAGATAATTGCTAAGTATATGGAGAGTCCTGCTCGGAGGCTTTCGTTTGCAGATTGCCAGGGGCTTGTAGCGGATAGCGAACTATATGATCTTAGCAGGATTGTGAGGTTCTTGGATCACTGGGGGATAATTAATTACCTCTCTGCTTCCTCAGTTCATCGAGGACTAAGGATGGCTGGTTCTCTTCTTCGGGAGGATGCCAGTGGAGAGCTCAGTGTGCAGACTAAACCACTGAGATCCATTGATAGTTTAATTTTGTTTGACAGGCCTAAATGTAGTCTCAAACTTGATGATATGGCCTTTTTGCCAACTTCTTCATCTTCCGTGGATTCAGTTTCTTGTTTAGGTGATCTGGATGTTAGGATTCGTGAAAAGTTATCTGAACATGCCTGTAGTTACTGCTCCAAGCCACTGCCTAATTTATTCTACCAATCCCAGAAGGAGGTCAGTTGTACTCTTTCTTCATAGAATCTTGTTTGCTAAAAATTTCTTGGGCTAACATTATATGGTGCCTTTTTTTTTTGATATGCTGTCTGTTTGAGGAATGATAAATTTCTTCCATTCAATTTAACTTGTACCTATTTAATGTCAATTATTTCTTCATGCAGTAAACACATTTGCTTCATTATAAATGAAAGGTTTTACACGATCCTATAATGGTGAATCAGTATGTTTTTGTTCAGCCACATGCACTATGAACACTAAGGCCTCGTTTGACAGGACTTTATCGTTAAGAAAATTTCGTTTAAAAGCTCTATCTTACAAAACTCCATTATAAAATTAATTTCGGTAAAACAAAATGACAATTTAGAAAGAAAATTCCGTTTGCCTTTTCTAACTTTATTATTGAAGTTAAAAGTCTATAATAACCCTGTCGTCTCCTAAAAAAATTATTTTGGAAGCAGAGGGGACCACTTGGATCTTATAGTGGTTCTCTCGCAGCCTTTGCAACTCCAACATACTATTTTATGTTCCAAAATGATCTTGAATTAGGTACAAAGAGCATGAGTTGATGATTGTATCCATGATTGGGAGGAGAGGGGAAATGCGGTGGTAACAACAGTAATGAGATGTCAGAGGGGAAGACCTATACATCCAACCCCATAGTTCCTACTGGATCATAATGGTCACATGGAGGCGGCAGTGGAATACGACAGAATGAAGGAGGAAGACCAACAAAGGCAGAGGAATTAGGGTATTTTGGACATTTTTGCTACCAAACGCCGAACGTAGGTCGCAAAGCCGACACAAGTTTGCGTTGATAATCGTCCAAATCGCGCTTCTCTGTTTTCTCTGCATTTGCCAAACTACATCAGAGAGAAAAAGCATGCTCAACTGTGGCCTAAGCTTTTTCGTCAACTGTTAATCACACATATTGATCCACAAAGATAAATATATGTAAAAGAGTGGTTGCAATGAATGATGAAAAAAGGAAGAGGAGAAAGACAGAAAAATGGGGACTTGGCCATCTGACCAAGGAAGGAGATGTGTGATGAAAGTGAAGAGGAGAGCATTCTTTACAGAAGTAGCTTCAATTTGAACTTGAGTGCTTTATTCATGCAAATGGTCCTTACTTATAGAATCAAAGGAGGACTATTCTTGCATGAGGTCCAAGTTTTTCTTAGTCATTTCATACCAAGCTAAATTGCTTTTACATTTTGTTGAAACCAAGATGAAATGAATTTACATAAAACTTGGAAATACATATGAAAGAAAGTGATATCCACTAAGTTGATTGAAGCCAGATTGTAGTTAGTTCAGGTATTGGAGATGGGTTTGTCTATTTCTTGCATAATCTCCCGTGAGTTGTGAAGAACTCAACTCTAGAGAGTTAGTGCGATGCAAATCTTTTTAGAGATTAGATACAATATGGAAACTGTCTCTATACGAGCATTAATGAAGAGAGCACTTAGTTTGACAGTAAGCGTACCCATGTTTTCCAATAAATTTTTTAGAATATGTCAAACTAGGTATAAGGAGAATGAGCACCGTCCATGTTAGGTATTAAGAACATAGAACAAGTGCTCAATCTTTTGAAAAAATGATGAAATGTATTATAGCCATTATTTTATTATAGTCTATTTGCAATCTAGAGATTATAATTTTTATGGCTTGGGCTATGGTTGTATAAGAATTTTTTTTTCTCATGCTATATGATCTAAGTCTTGCTGGTTTACCATCTAAATAGTTGTTTTTTTTAATGTTTGTAATGAGAGCATATGAGATTTTATCTTTATTTTCATTTAAGTTTATTGCAGCAATTTTTTGCAATGAACTGGGAGATTAGTTAGGGGCTATTTGGTTTGCTAAAAATGAAATGCAATGTAAAAGGTTTGCAGACTACTATAATTGCAATGTATTTAAAATAATTTTGAGTTGTTCGGTGCATTGTAAAATAAACGTAGCACTTTATATATATATATATTTGTTCTGAAGTAGAATGAAAAAATGTATTTCAAAATATATTTTTTTGTCCGGCGGCAGGGGACTGACGACGGTGGGCTGGTGGTTCGGGCAGGAGATGGTCATCAGCTGCGGCGGAGACGGTCGGCGATAGTGAACGGGAGTGGGGGGATGTGGCTTGCGATTGAATTTTACATGAACGGTGTAATTTAAATTCGATCAAATCGGTCGAATTATATATTTAGCCAAAATGAATGGCGGTGTAAACTTCTAATTTATTCATATTTTATATTGCATTTGTAGTTCTTCATATCAAACATATAATTTTTTCAAATCCCCGCTAAAGAATTACAGTACACTACAAATTCACTAAACCAAACAACCCCTTAGTTTTTTGATTGGTTATCGAATGGTTGAAATAGGAAAGAATTTTGTAATTTGTTTTTGTTGTTGGTTCTCCTTGGAATTTTTTAGTCCAATGTATAATTATGAATTTCTATATTTTGGATCCACGCTTTTCTTTTGAAGTTGATTTTCAATGGCAGAGTTGTAGTTTCTTGACAACTGGCTTTTTCATAGTAGTTGCCACCATCTTTTTCAGGTCAATTGCCACTCTTTTTTGTAATGGGATCATTCAGATGTTTTTGCCACTTTTGTAGGGCTAATTTTGGCCTTTGTTGTTGGTGATGGACCCATCGACATGGAGGAAAGACTCCATATTGAAGGACCTTTTAGCTTCACTGGGAGTGGAACTTTAATATCTTTAAAACAATCTTGATAATTGGAATTAAAAGGGGCGATATTTGAAAATAAGAGATCGTATGATTGAATTTTAATTCTTTGGTGATATCGGAGTTAACCAAAAATCCATTAGGAAAACATATCTTATCACAGAAACAAACAACATATTACATTCACAACCACCAAAAAAAAAAAAAAAGAAAACAACACAACACTGATCCTACTAGGGCAAAGTAGGGCAACAGGTGGCTTGGAGAGTATATGGCTTGATGTTGTGGACGATGATGGAAGTTGTGTTGGTAGGTGTTAGCAGGTGAGAGGGAGGCATAAGTGGCTAGTATGTTTGGGGGGATAAGCAAGTGAAAAGACAAGTGGACGGGTGGTCAGCTGGAGAGGCCGATTGAGTGCAGATTATGGCAATATCGTAGCAGGCAAAGGGGAAATATGTGACTGAGGCTGAAGAGGGTTGGTGGCTGGTGTATAGCTGATCTAGCATGTAAGCGACAGTAAGGAGGAAGGAGTGTGGTTTGGATGACAATAGGGATAGGTGGTTGGGTGGTAGCAAACAAATGAGGGAGATAAGGGGTTAGCAACAGGGAAACTGAGAATGATGGGGGCGCAACAAGGTGCAAGTAGGAAAAAGGAAGATACACGCCATCTCGAGATGATTTACATCTGGAGCATCTTCTCATCGTAGGATACAACCCTAGAAGGGAGAAGGAAAACACTGACAGTCGTCCAAACAGAAATATCAGCAAAAACTACAGTCCTAGAATGTAGCACATTTATTTACAATAAGTAAAATAGGGCGAAAGGGCAGCAAATTCAGCTCTATTAGAAGGCTGGTCGATTTAGCCTCCCTGCTGGCCGACACTTACATGCTTGACCGATCGATCCAACTCTCAGCCCTAGGTCAGTCTCTTGGGTTGGGGGAGCTTCGACTTTATTTTTCGAAACTTTTAGTTCCTTGTAGCACGGAATCAATTCTGCCCCATAGAAGATCATAGATATATTGTAATCCTCTAGTAGATCGATCATGTAGGTGTTATCATTCCACAATATATCTTGGTAGAATAAATATTTATCCTCCCTTGACATATCATGAGTCGAAGCTGCATACAAATGTAGGTTCTCGCAGTGTAACTCTTGAGCTCTTAATTCCTCTTAATTCTGAAACATTTTTCTTTCAATTCTCGTACTCAACAAAATGTAGTTGATAAACCAATATGTGAGGAGAAATCAACTCGGCTTAAACCTATGGCAGACTGCGCCACTCTCACTACTAACCATTCAGGAGTGACATCTTCTACTGTGATAGGTTTTGGATCCTATTGAAAAATTTCCTTGTTCATCAAGCTTCTAATACAAATTCAAGGTTGGGTTTCATCCCTCTTGTTTGGACATCTAATGATGGGTACCATGCTGATCTGAGTTTAATGTTTGAATAACTCCATGTAATCTTTCAGACATGGCACAAAAGGGCCCCAATTCTGACGTGTTGGACATCCCTCAGTAGGGGAAACTTAGGAATGATTCTATAGATTTGAATGGTATGGATTTCTCTTATATGGGATTGTCATGCTTTTGGTGTTAATTCCTCGAACTCAAGAGAATCTTGGACACTCATTGTGAAGTTGGTTGGATTCTCTCCCACGGGCTTAGCTGGAACTATGTGCATCTTTTCCTCCTCAACTGGAAGCTGATCCTCCTCCTTTATGTCTTTACGGTCTTCAGTGTCTACCCTGTCATTTACTAATTTTTCAAGAACACCCTGTTCAGTAAAATAGATCACCCCCTTGGTTGTATAGTCTGATTCAACATGTCCAAATCCATAACGCTTGTAACCTTCCTGACTGTGACTGATTTAGGGATGTGGATCGGTTCCACCTGTTCTCCACTCTAAATCAACTTTTCTTCTAATGGGGACGTCTTGGGTATCCTTCTGGGTGAATTCTAGTTGTAAGATCCCGAGGTTGAACACTGCTTATAAGATAGAGTACTTGTTTGGTGATGTGGTCTCTCCACTTCTGAAGCTAGGGTTTGAACATTCTGTCTATAGTAAGCTGGTAGGAACTGATGTTATATCTCCCGTTTTATCTTCTGATACTCTCGTTCTCCTATTTAATTCTTCAGATCATGGTCGTAGGTAATCTCTCCCTGGGTTTCGTCCTCAATGTTCGCAAGCCTCCATTGAAGTCGCCGAATCTCCCATTGTATCTCTTTTCGGATGCTTGGGCATGTATCTCCTTGGTGACATGACTAGGGTTTGGAGTGTGAGGTGAAAGATGATGTAAAAAATG